CCCTTCCCTCGCAGCCCACCCCGTCCAGTCCCTCCCTCCAGATGACCAGCGAGAGCGGGCAGCCGCCGCCGGAGCCCCCGCTGCCTCTCCGCCCCTGCAGCCCGGCTCGCGGAGCTCTCCAGGCCGTCTTGATGAGCCAGCCGCCCGCCGCCTCCGCCCTGGAGTCGTCGTCGTCGTCTTCCTCCGCGTCCTCATCGTCGTCGTCGTCGTCGTCCTCGTCCAAGGGCAAGAAGGCCAGCTCGGGGCTGCGGCGGCCGGAGAAGCCCCCCTACTCCTACATCGCGCTCATCGTCATGGCCATCCAGAGCTCGCCCTCCAAGCGCCTGACGCTGAGCGAGATCTACCAGTTCCTGCAGGCGCGCTTCCCCTTCTTCCGCGGCTCCTACCAGGGCTGGAAGAACTCGGTGCGCCACAACCTCTCGCTCAACGAGTGCTTCATCAAGCTGCCCAAGGGGCTGGGCCGCCCGGGCAAGGGCCACTACTGGACCATCGACCCGGCCAGCGAGTTCATGTTCGAGGAGGGCTCGTTCCGCCGCCGCCCGCGGGGCTTCAGGAGGAAATGCCAGGCGCTGAAGCCCATGTACAGCATGATGAACGGCCTGGGCTTCAACCACCTGCCCGACGGCTACGGCTTCCAGGGCTCGGCCGGCGCCATCTCCTGCCCGCCCAACAGCCTGGCGCTGGAGGGCGGCTTGGGCATGATGAACGGGCACCTGCCGGCCAACGTGGACAGCATGGGGCTGGCGGGACACTCCGTGCCCCACCTGCCCGCCAACGCCGCCCACTCCTACATGGGCAGCTCGGCCGGCGCCGACTACCCGCACCCCGACGGCTCGGTGCCCGCCTCGCCCCTGCTGGCGGGCGGCGGGGTGATGGAGCCGCACTCGGTCTACTCCAGCTCGGCCCCCGCCTGGGCGCCCCCCGCCTCGGCCGCCCTCAACAGCGGCGCCTCCTACATCAAGCAGCAGCCGCTGTCGCCCTGCAACCCCGCGGCCAACGCGCTCCCCTCCGGCCTGTCCACGCACTCCCTGGACCAGAGCTACCTGCACCAGAACAGCCACAACGCCGCCGCCGAGCTGCAAGGTGAGCCCGCCCGGCCACGCGCGCGAACCCGGGCACGAGTGTGCGGAGCGGCGGCCGCCTTATCCAGGCCGCGGGCATGTGGAGCTGATCTGAGCCGTGGGGTACATTGCACGGGTGGTGAATCGAGGCACCCGCGTGCAAGCGATCGCGTAGGTCGCTGATCGCGGCACGGGTGTGCATAGTGAATCGAGGCACCCGCGTGCAAGCGACCGGGTATGTCGCTGATCGCGGCACCCGCGTGCAAGCGA